GACAGTGTAGAGGGAGCTTTACTCTGTATCTAACCTTGTGCTGCCCCTGTCCTGGGAGTGTTTGTTGGGGGGACAATGTAGAGGGAGCTTTACTCTGTATCTAACCCCCTGTCCCTGGGAGTGTTTGTTGGGGGGACAATGTAGAGGGAGCTTTACTCTGTATCTAACCCTGTGCTATCCCTGCCCTGGGAGTGTTTAATGGGGGACAGTGTAGAGGAAGCTTTACCCTGTATCTAACCCCATGCTGCCCCTGCCCTGGGAGTGTTTGATGGGGGACAGTGTAGAGGGAGCTTTACTCTGTAGCTAACCCCATGCTGTCCCTGCCCTGGGACTGTCTGATGGGGGACAGTGTAGACGGAGCCTTACCTGACGCGTCCTCGCTGTTTCTTGGGGTCCTCGGCCTGGCGGCTGCGAGAGGGTGACCGGCTGCGCCCACCGCGGGGATTACTGACGCTGCGCAGCGTGCCGTTGGGATTCCTGGGAGCCTGGCCAGTTGAGAAGGACAGCCACTCGGGAATGTTGAGGTTGTTGTCACTGCTGGAGCGTTGCAGCATGTGGGGGAGGGTGAGCGTGTTGTGGCCTTCCCTCCGCTGTGGGGCGTAGGTGGGCTTCTCCTTGAAAGGAACTGTCGGGAGGACACAGCTTAGAGAGAGATAGGAACACCACTGTACAGCTGCCAGGGAACAGTGAGAGTTAGCACCTTGGAAACGACAGCATGAAACGCAGACACTGTCCCAGATTGGCGATTACAACAACAACTTTCATTCATGTGGCACCCGTGTGTGGTTTTTAAAAAAAAGAAGCATGAGGGTGCCATTGGCCAGACCAGCATTTATTGCCTTTGAACTGAGAGGCTTGCTCAAGCCATTTCTGAGCGTGGTTAAAAGTCAACCATGTTGCTGTGGGTCTGGAGTCACATGTAGGCCAGACCAGGTAAGGATGGCAGTTTCCTTCCCTGAAGGACATCAGTGAACCAGATGGGTTTTTCCGACAATTGATCCATGGTTATCATCACTCTCTTAATTCCAGATTTTTGTTGAATTCTGCCATAATGGGATTTGAACCCAGGTCCCCTGAGGCGTTACCTGTATCTCTGGCTTAACAGTCCGGTGATAATACTACTTACCCATCAACACCCCTTAAATGCAGCTCAATGGTTAGCACTGCTGCCTCACAGCTTCAGGGACCCGGGTTCGATTCCACCCTCGGGCGACTGTCTGTGTGGGGTTTGCACATTCTCCCCGAGTCTGCATGGGTTTCCTCCAGGTGCTCCGGTTTCCTCCCACAGTCCAAAGACGTGTAGGTTGGGTGGATTCACCATGGGAAATTGCCCATAGTGTGCAGGGTTGTGCAGGCTGGGTGGGTTAGCCATGAGAAATATGGAAGGCTGGTTCTGGGTGGGATGCGCTTTGGAGGCTCGGTGCAGTCTTGATGGGCTGAATGGCCTCATTCCGCACTGTAGGGGTTCCATTATCCAATGACAAAAGGATCCTGATTGGTTGGACATGGAGATTGGCTAATTAAAATCAAACCAGCGGGCTGTGGGAGAGATGAATGAACAAGGCAGGATGAGAGTTAGGACCTGGGCAACGGAGTGTTGGTGGAGGTCCCACTGTTGGAGGCTTTTGGAATCAATGATCCCAGAGATAGCATAGGTCTCTTTTCCACAGCTCGGAGGTCAGGGAAAGGTCAAACAGGTGAGCGATCAATAGCCAAAGCAATAGTTTTTGGCACACTCCTTCCTCAATCAAATCAACCACTGGCCACTTGAGTGTGAGACTTCCAGATAAAGTGATGGTGCCTTCAGCAATTTGGGAAATAAACGTGGGAATTGGTGAATTGGCCCACCAAAGATTTTCCAAATCAGAGGCACCGAGGCATTACACATCAGTCTAGAGGAGCTCTGCCCAATGTCACCCGAGCAAAACAAAGAACTCTGCTCTCTGGAAATCTGAAGCAAAATCAGAAATTGCTGGAGAAACTCAGCAGGTCCGGCACCATCTGTGAGGAGAGAGAGAGAGAGAGAAAGACAGGTAACATTTCCAATCCAGTGACCGTCCTTCAATGCCGGACTCGAAACGTCGACTCTGCTTTCTTTCCACAGATGCTGCCAGGCCTGCCGAGTTTCTCCAGCATTTTACCGATCTTTGTTTCACATAAACACCTGAATTCCCAACAGATCTCCAAAAGGGGAAAAAAAAAGAGTTAAATCTGGAGAATTCCTGCCTGGAATCTGAGCATGCGACTGGGACGATGGGGCCTACCACACCAAAGTAAAATGAAGCCTCATGATGGATCTGGGTTAGGATTTGGGGGGACGGGGGGTCAGGATCAGAATCAGGATCAAGGTTAGGGTTGGGATCCGAGTCACGCACAACTGTCAGTCTCCAACCTACCCATGTCTGAGTCTTTGTGATTCTTGATGAATTCGCCCAGTTCAAAGTTCCCGGCGATAATGGCAACCTAGGCAGAAACAAAGTGAGGCCTTTAGCTACAGGCCTCAACACTGTCACTGACTGGGCCACTGGGAACCCGCTTTCTCAGTTCACATACATCCAGTGTTTACACATCAGAGGCATGTGGCACACAACCAAATAACGTCTCCCATATCCCTCAGACCCCGATATCGAATACATCCCAGGGAACAGCTTGATTTGATTTACTATTGTCACACATACCGAGCTACAGTGAAGAGTATTGTATCGCATGCTATCCAAATCATACCTCACATAAGTACATCAGGATGATAGAGCAGAATGCAGAATATAGTGTTACTGCTACAGAGAAGGTGCAGAGAAAGATCAACTCTAATGTATGAGAGGTTTGTCCATAAATCTGATAACAGCGGGGAAGAAGCTGTTGTTGAATCTGTTGGTACATGTTTGGAAGAGGTTGGAAGAGATTTTAGCCGGGGTGGTGGAGGAGGGACCTTTGATTATGTTGACTGCCATTCTGAGGCAGCAGGAAGTATAGGCGAAGTCAATGGATGGAACTCTTTTACTGCCAGCAGAGGGGCTGAATGGCCTCCTGTGAGTAAACATCAATGATTCAACATACCCAGGCACTGTATATATGTCACTGTCAGGCCCTGGACTTGCTGTTCACTAGTATCTGAGTAGAACTAGGTGTGTGGTGTGACTCACTGGTGATCAAACAGAGCTCTCAGTGTCAGCTTTGACAAGGAGTCTTGCTCAGAAAAACAAAAGGTCATAAAATCCAACCCTTCCGAGGGTAAGGAAGGTGGCCTGACCAGGGCAACAAGCCTGCCAGGTTTGGAGAGTTTTTAAAAAATTCTTTCACGGGATGAGTGCGTCGCTGGCTGGGCCCGGCATTTATTGCCCATCCCTAATTGCCCAGAGGGCAGTTAAGAATCAACCACATTGCTGTGGGTCTGGAGTCACATACAGGCCAGACCAGGTAAGGATGGCTGCTTCCTTCCCTAGAAGATTAATGACCCAGATGGAGAGCGGTCTGTGAAAGCCAAACCATCCCTCTTACTTTCGACCTCCCCATTAGCCTCCTATCCCTCCCCGCTAGACTAAACCCACTCCCGAAGAAGAAGCAAGACATGAACCTGCCTCCTCAAGGAAGGACACCAACCCAACTAGGCCTCGGCCAGTGCTCCTCAGAGGCCAGATGCTATCAGTCAGTTAAGACACACCAGTTTCAAGGTTCCTGACAGGGTGAGCGGGTACAATTACAACATTTAAAAGACATTTCGACAGGGACATTGTTACAAAAGGAATATGGGCCAAATTGCAGGCAAATGGGACCAGTTCAGTTTGGGAAACCTGGTCAGCAGGGACAAGTCAGGCCGAAGGGTCTGTTTCTGCGCTGTTTGACTCTACGGCGCTAGGCTGGGTCACTTTTTTCCCTGGAGTGTCTGAGGCTGAGGGGTTTATAAAATCATGAGGGGCATGGATAGGGTGAATAGCCAAGGTCTTTCTCCCTAGGGTGCAGGGAGTCCAAAACTAGAGGGCATAGGTTTAAGGTGAGAGGGGAAAGATATAAAAGGGACCTAAGGGGCAACTTTCCCACGCAGAGGGTGGTGCGTAAATGGAATGAGCTGCCAGAGGAAGTGCTGGAGGCTGGTACAATTATAATATTTAAAAGGCATCTGGATGGGTATATGAATAGGAAGGGTTTAGAGGGATATGGGCCAAATGCTGGCAAATGGGACTAGGTCAGACTGGGGTGTCTGGTCGGCATGGGACAGGTTGGACTGAAAGGTCTGTTTCTGTGCTGTGCATCTGTCATACTGTATATAACCCTAAACCCGCTGCCTCTTCATTTCGGTTAGCTCAGTTGGCTGGAAGGTCAGTTTGAGATGCAGAGCGACACTGACAGTGTGCGGTTCCATTACCGCCCCGGCTCAGGCCCACTCCAACCTCCTCATCTTGAGGCCTGAGGCACGTCGACCCTCGCTGAACCTCACCGCCACTCGTCTCTCTCTCTCTCTCTCTCGAACGGGGGAACAGCCTGTGGGCCTCTGGGACTGTGGCATTGTGCACTCACACGGGGTGCGTTACCTCAGCAACGGGGGAGCCCTGCGATCCACCATCTTTGTAGCCTCCCACAAGGCGGGAAACAAAATGGGGGAGGCCCAGACAGGCTACAGGGCAGGGGGTGGGGAGTGGGTGGGGAGGAAATACCTAGATTTTAGGGACTGCAGCCCTTGTATAAGCTGAGTCCTTGCTGCCCTTCTCAAGGGGAATAAATACTAGGCCTCGCCTGCAGAGTTCAGGCCCCATGGTGGAACAATCCAAAAAGTAGCTTCCTCATTTGACACGGGGATTAAACCCACAGAATCTGACCGAGGTAAGAGGCTCTCAAGTGAAACAAGTTGTTTTAATGTCACTAAAAAAAACCCATCCAGTTGGCAGCTAATGGACATTTCTTGGTTAGAGGGAAAAAAAACTCGACGGATGTGGCTCAAAGTGAGGGATGAATATGGCAGACTTAGCAGAGAAGTTACCTCAAGATTTGACTGAAACAGATTGTACCGCAATTAGAAAGTCCTTAAAACAGGGAAGGAAGGGTTGACAGATGGGAAAAAGTCCCCCAGGGCCGTAGAGGCTGACAGACGCTGGGAAGAAGTGGATGATGGTGTAGGAATCTCAGTTTCACTAAGTAAAGGATTGGCCGAGGTTGGAATCTCCACTGAGTAAAACATTTCCCAAACTCTGCCTCTCCTTAGAAACTAGGCCAGCTAGATCCAGGGAATGTGAGCTCAAAACACAGCCGCATTGTTTTATATCTCAAACTCTAAGGACAGCACCAACAGCAAATATAAACCACACCAGCCTCGATAACCTACATTCACACCAATCTAGGTCATACAATGCAGCACCGATCCAACCACAGGAGTATTTCTGTGTTCAAAACTCACAGCAATCATTAAAGAACATTCAAATCAGGCCATTCAGCCCCTTGAGACTTCCCCGCTGTTCAATACAATCATGACTGATCTGATTGTAACTTCGAATCCATTACACCTACCCCAATGGCATTTCAAACTCGGGTTCAGCAAGAAGAGGAATATTAAATGTATTGTTTGGTGCCTGCAGGCTGTGTTAATGCCAGGAGAAATAACCATTTTGCCAGCGGGCACCATAGTGTTGTTCCAGCAGGTTGGACTTGAGAGTGGACCTAACAGCACCCTTGTTGATCTCCATCAAGTGATGGAGAAGTAGGGAGTGTGTGTGTGTGTGTGTGTGTGTGTGTGTGAGAGAGAGAGTGTTTGTATGTGTGTGTGTGTATGTGTAGGGCTGTGTGTTTGTGTGTGTGAGACAGAGAGAGTGTGTGTGTGCGTGTAGGGAGTGTGAGTGTGTGTGTAGCTGTGACAGAGTGAATGCGTGTGTGTAGGGAGTGTGTGTAAGGGTTTGTGTGGGGGTGCATGTGTGCGGTGGGGGTGGAGAAGTGTGGTGGTTGTGTATGTAGGGGAGTTGTATGTAGGGTGCATGTGTGTAGGGTGCATGTGTGTGGGTGGGTAGGGGTGTGTGTGTGTGTGTAGCGTGAGTGTGTGTGCAGGCTGTGTGTGTGTGTAGGGCATGTGTATATAAGGGGGTGTATGTAAGGGGTGTGTGTAGGGTGTGTGTGCATGTAGGGTGTGTGTGTAGGGTGTTTGTGTGTAGGGTGTATGTGCGTCGGGTGTGTGTGTAGGGTATGTGTGCGTAGGGTGTGTGTGCATAGGGTGAGTGTGTGTAGGATGTGTGTGTAGGGTGTGTGTGCGTAGGGTGAGTGTGTGCAGGGTGTGTGTATGTGCAGGGTGTGTGTGTGCAGGGTGTGTGTGTGTGCAGGGTGTGTGTGTGCAGGGTGTGTGTGTAGGGTGTGTGTGTAGGGTGTGTGTGTGTGTGTAGGGTGTGTGTGTAGGGTGTGTATGTAGGATGAGTGTGTGTAGGGTGTGTGTGTAGGGTG